AAAAAACTAATGTTTACCAATTGCAAAGTTCTAAATATATATCTAAAATTGAAAATTAAATATTTTAATTTTTAGATTCAGTTATAAAGTAAAAAAGTGTATCTAATAAGGATTTAATTGAAGAACAAAAATTATTTGCAGCTTCATATAAAGAAAATCATCAAATATCAAAAATTTTTAGCATTTTTAAAGTTGATTTGTTATAAGATTCTTGATATTTTAATAATATTTGAACTTGTTTAGTAAAATTACTAAAAAATATATAAACTTTTTTTAATAAAGATTTAGTATACACATAATATTCTACTTGTTTTTTAGCAGATTAACAGGCTAATCATAATCTATATGCAATACAATGTGTAGTAATTATACATGAATTTATTTGTCATTTATATAGCAACACTAGTAATATTTCTTGTATTATATTTGCACCATCTGATATAAATGAAAAATTTTATGTTGTATATCTATTTGAAATCTAAAAAAAAAATCAATATCTACAGTATATAAATAAAAAAATTTGAATTATTTAAACTTACTTTTAGAAATAAAAGGACTAATTATGATATTATAAATAGACTTTGAATCATTAGTTTCAAGTTGTAATAAACTTAAAAATTGAATTTTAATAATACCATCAAAGATATATCTAACATAAACAACAATATGTGATTCTGTTGCAATGTCTGTGCTTTCATAAACTATGATACTTATAGCCGTAGCAAGGCATAATTCAATTGAAGTAGCAATAGATAACAATAATTCTCATCCATATACACAATTTTCATATGTAATTGGATGGTTTGTAGAAACTAAATGTGGAGAATCAATAGTACGACTAAGTCTTGTCATTTGGTTAAATTTTTTTAAAGGAATATCATTTTGTGCTATACAATAAACAATCTTCATCAAACTAATAATATGTCCCGATGATGCAGTTACAATTTCTTTTTTTTTAGATGAGTTAATGTGATCTTTGGATTTAGCATGCTCTTTTACGGCATAAAGTTTAATATTTTTAGATCCTAATTAAAATACAAATAATTTATTTATTTAAATATTTAAATTATAAATTATTTAAGTTATAAATTATTTAAGTTATAAATTATTTGTTATAAATTATTTAAGTATTTATTTAATCATACCATCCTTTGCAAAATTATTTTTTTTATTACAGGCCCGACACAAAGTGCAAAACATTCGGTTGTTTTGAGAATCATATTCAAGCCATAAATATTCTTTCTTCCAACTTGTATGAAAAATTCTATTAACATGATTAATATGTTGAGATGTTGAATCAATATTCGATATCATTTAGTTGAGACGTTGAATTAATATTCGATGCCATTTAGTTTAAACTAGTATTCACATTTTTTATTTTTTAACATCTAGAAATTTAAACGATTAAAACAGTGATAAAATTCAATATTTCTATTTGCTATTTGTAACTATTGTTAGCCTGTTTTACCAAGAACCTTAGAAACCATCGAACAAAAAAGATAATACAATCGGCATCTAACTTTGGTGTATCAAAAACGATACTTGAAACAATGGGCGTTGGTGCAGTAAATGACCGGCAAATAAGTTAGTATTTTACACCCTGCTTTCACAATCTAAATGTATGATTATCTAACTAAATTAGTATCATGATTGTTAAAGCCCTTGAAGGAGGCAGTGTGCATATTAACATGAGGCTAACACGATAGCTGATATCATAAAGTAGGTTCCAGAATGTGTTCTCTTTTACAATCTAAATGTATAAAAGT